CCATACAGGTCGAGTGGCTTTCGGAAAGCACAAATCCAATAAATCCAAAGCTCTTCCAAACCCTCCTGACATCAATGAGAAAGCCAAGAAGCACTTGAGATAATAACCAGTAAAGTATACATGTACAGCCACCTGTCCTGGCTACTACCAAATGGCAGCGCAATACACAACATTGTTCCACAAGCTAGCCTTCCCATATTCTTCTAGATTGGTGTATATTCTGGTTTTGCAGACCACAATTGATTTTTTTTAGTCCAATAAATCTTTTTTCTAGTGCATGGTGGTTCTGTACTTCCCTACACAGTACAGTACTGTATATGCATTCATGCATTGTTCTATACAACCTTTTACTGTACGTCCCTATAATTTTTGTTAGATGTTTACAGACGGAAATGCACTGCAGTTGATTGATGTTTTACATCAATCATTTGATGTGTGTCTTGTAGAGGCTGCAAAATCCAAATAAGGGCAGTAAAACTTCTGGTTGCAACTCTTTTGACCATGTCGTAGCTCAGTCGATTAAGGCAACGTCTGGGATGATCTCAGACGTAGGTTCGAATCCTCGTCATGGGCCTTGTGGATTTGTTCATTGATGCATCACGTTATTGTGATTTCTGTGTGCACTGAGTCATTTTAGTCAATTCCATACCTTGTGTGTAGTCTCCAACTACTGTATTTGTTAACCACCAAATCAAACCACAGTAAAGTTATTCTAGATATCCTTGATTTTATATACTATATTTATATTTTTTATTGGACCTTGGGCTTCTGACCTCATGCTGTCATGTGCCTGATAATATTAGATTTTAGAGAGGCCAAGCTATCTATCCAGGCTTTTTCCTCGGGCATCGCTCTGGTGTGGAGGACCTAGAGACCTATTCAAAATTTTGTCAAGATGCCTTGTATATTCTAGGTGCTTGGCAGTCATGCAAGTCACCTTGATGTGGTATTTGGTGGGTGAGCAAAACACCCCAGTGAATTGCACCAATCTGCTTTACGTGTCGAACACGTCTTCCTAAATCTTAATATGCATCTCTGTGCCTGTCTAATTTTCTGCATGTAACAGTAAGGTGAAATGTCAGACAAAGTTTGTTTTCTGTTTTTCTTTATCCTTTTTTTTTTTTAACAAATGGTTCCAGCCTCCATTGATTTGGTCTGCTAAAGAGGTGGACATTTGATTAGGTCCTATCTATTAGTGACATTTGAACAGGCCCCATCTACATTCCTTGAGTATGGGTTTACCCCCTTACATGGCTTGCTAGTGAGGCCATCTTCATCTCTAAATAAGGATATCTCATCTGAGGCAATGCTGTACTTGTGGAACTGGTCTGGTATTTTGTTCCCGATACTGTAGTATCACCATTTCTGTATAAGTTCAAATATCTCATTTACACTGGCTGTGGCACTATACCTTAAGAATTATTTTTGGCTATAGCTTTTCCTGGCTTTTTGGATATGCCCTGTTAAACTTAGGGTTTTCCTTGGTTTCCTGTTGTTCTGGTGGATGTCCAACTGCAGCAGTAAATCTAAGTGACCTTTACTTCCACCTTTCTCTTCCAGGATTGAGTGAGTGAAAACATGAGTGAGTGAGTGAAAACTTGAGTGAGCTCAAGTTTTCCTGATGGTCTTCTCTTTGTGTTTCATGATAGCATTTGTTTATGCTTCTGGTTGGTAGCGGTTTTACCACTCACCATTCCCTCTCTAGGGTTCAGAGCCTCCAGTAGTTAATACACTATTGGTATGCATTCCACATTCTAATGCCCTGATCACGATATTGAAACGAGTCTTACTCAAGATTTTTTCTTGGCTGAATAAGGGTGTAATTAGTTCTTCATTGCTTCAGGACTGGTCGACTGGCTACTTTTCCAGTACAATATTTACTACAAGGTTTTAGGCTATTCTTCCACGATCCTTTTTCTTGTTCTGTCTCCTTGACATTGGAGGTAGCCAGGGTTGTACTTTGCATGCAGCTATTGCATACAATTTCCTTATGCTGGTGGTGGTGGTTTACTGACAGCCTGAACTTCTCTTTAGCATTAACTTGCTCTTACCCTTTCCTGGAAAACACACCAGTGTCTCTGCCTTAACACACAGGCTTGCTTTCTTTCCTCCCATTACCTCTTTATGAGTGCTATACTGAATAATTTGAGAGGTAATTGTTCGTATAATTTAGCTAAGTGAGAGGGATCGATTTCTTGCAATGCCAGGTATTGAATTTGTTCTTTTTGTTTTGAGGGCTTGCTTCCATGGCTCATATTTCTGGACGTTTTCCAACCAATTGTTATTTATGCTCCACTTGCACAGAATCAGTATCGGTCTTTTGCCTTATCTAGCCAGGCTACAAACTGTGTCCAATATTTAATCTTTTTTCTTATAGATTTCTAGTTACAACTTTTACCAGCAAGGGTTGTTTACTTAAATATTTTTTACTGTTTTTTAAGATCAATAAACTATCAATAAATTAATATAGTTCAGAAACTAGGCCTCCGAGTGCATGCGAAACGTGCCTTTCTGTAATTACACGGTTGTTCCTGTCTCATCACTTGCTGCCTAGTTTACCTTGTGCCACAGTGTGTCTTTTGTGTTAGAACTTCTGGGAGGAGGCTTGCTGGGTGGGGGGGAACCTTTCATATGTACAGTAATGTTTTTGCCATCTGATGGTGGCCTGGGTAAGTGACTGACGTGGGTAAGTGACTGGACAGGCCAACTGGTTGTTAGCTATAGCACAGTTCGGTGGATTTATCAATTTAAAAAAGTAATTGAAGTGGCTCGGTTCTATTTGTGCTTTCTAGAGATGAGGGTCAACTCAAGGTACCAGCAAATCGGGCAATTGCCCAGACAGCTAAGTGTTAGAGGTGCCTTTGTCATGTGTCTGAAATCTTCCAAATGCAAAGCCAAAAATGTTAAAATAAATACAAAAAATAATGACATTTCTGATTCACTTTAACCATGAATACAAGTACAGTATGTCAGTTGGTGAGCACCCATTAAATATCACACAATTGACTTATAAATTAAATGTTCAATCAAATAATTATTCAATTTTGTTCTATCCATAATGTCTGTTACTCAAACATAAAATTGGTTAGTCATTTTCATTATTGCCATCCAATTATTAATCCATGAGGTTATGGCTTTTAGTATTCTCTATTTTGATTCTATGTTGTAAATCCAGTGTACTGAAATATGTAATCTGTTTGGACTCCTTGCAGTGCAAGGTACCAAGAGCCCTTGGCCTGTCCCTGCTAGAGGTTAATGGAATAGGATGGTTTTTTCAGCCTTCCCTAGTATTATCATGACCCTGCTGGGACTGCCTGAAAATTCCTTATATGCAGGTATCGGAATATAGCCTGGCTTGACTACAGTGCTACAGTTCCTACTGAGACGTTGTAATCTTTACTAATTAGAGCAACCAGGTAATGCTTAAAAAGTCACTATTCATGTACTAGCATCTGTTGATTTACATCATGTTGCATTCCTGTAAATCAGAACATAGATCACAACAATGTACATAAAATAATAAATTCCTAGGAAAGTGACAACAAAAGTTTATATCACCCAGTTTTCTATACTTGTCCTTTTATTTTCATATTTTCCACATTTACATTGCACTTTCTAATGTAAATCAGGTTTAAGCAATTTATAATGGAAAATAGCCCTAAACAATTAAGAGATTTAAAAAGAACAGTATGATACATACAGTGAACAGGTGTAAATCTGTGTGTTAGTACTGTACACTCGAAGCCTAATATTTTAAATCAAAATATAGATTATTTCCATCACTTATTGACAAAGTCAATCCAGACAAGGGAATAACTTGATTGTGCGCCCATATAACTCAAATAATCCGGTAATGAGTAAAAAAACAGCCAGATTATTTTCCTGACAGTGCATCAGGATTTGTATTGATCTGAGTTTCATTAGAAAGGAACATCACTGTAAAGTGCCAGAAGGCTGTACAACTTTATTGTACAATGAGATGATAATGTGGTGGCAGTGACAGCTGCTCCACCATACGTCTGCGTACCCCCCAGAGGTCATTACCCATGGTATTACTAAAACTGTGCTAAGATAAATAAATAAAAGCTGAATGTCAAGTCCAGATCAGTCTGCCACAATCTCTATTTTCATTCTAAACTGAATAAAACACATTTTAGACATTATTAGTGTTACATATTAGAGACCATTTTCACCGTACAGTATATCAGTGATTTCTTTGTTGCCTAAAATCATAAGACTAGTATGGGCTCTAGGTGCCCATGCTGTGTGGGTGCAGTAGTCACAGCTGAATGATCCCGGGTTCAATTCCCACGGCAGGACAGAAGAACGGGGTAATGTTGTCTTTCACCTGCTGCCTCTGCTCATCTAGCATTAAATAGGTGCCTGGGAGTTTGGAAACTTTTATGATTTGCATCCTGAGGAAGGTCAGTAGTTGGCCTGGGGGGGGGGGGGCCTCAATAACCCTAAGAGGCTTTCTGTCCCAGATAATGGGAAACCAAAACAAATATTCAGCAGTTTGTGGGAATCGAGAACTCCTTCCTTTCCTTATAGGAAAACTTGTCTGAACCCAGATCACCAGTGAGATGATCCAATAATCTCAGGTATATGAATAACATGATTGAATTCCACAGAGTTTACTGTGCATGATTAAATTATTACCTTTAGTTCAAGAGGCATTTTATGTAACAAATTATCATTTAATTTAATATTCAAAAATAACAAAATATCACCTGAAAAGTAAAGAAAAAGATATACATTATATATATATATATAAATATGCATTTGACGATCACAAAACACTGATCATTTTTATGCGGAAAATCCACAGAGAAATGTGAAAGGAAGTGAACGTTTTGGCCTGTTAAAGCCTTTGTCAACACCAGACTTACATTTCTCTGTGGATTTTCCGCATATATATATATATATATATATATATATATATATATATATATATATATATATATATATATATATATATATATATATATATTATATATATATATATATAAATTATATACAGTACAATTATATACACTGCACAGGATTTGAGTGTAGCATTATCTTCAAAAAATTATCACTGCCGGACCACCTGATACTCCACCCCATCAATTTCCACGTGTGTAGCATACTCAGGGATGGAATCTGCATGGATGTTTACCAATCCAGAAGAAGCAGTGAGTATCAGATCTTGATCACAACCTTCTATCACCTCGTATTGCTGCTCACCTTTTACCTGGTATTTGTCTTTATTCGATTCTCTGTTTTGTGGTGGTTCCATTTTAGTGTCTTTTGTAGATTCCAAGGAATCCTCTGGCAAGGAATGAGCATCATGCTCTTCTCTCATATGGTTGAGTACGGCAGATGAAGATGGTAAATCAACTCCACACAAATCACAGCGTCGGCCAGGAGCACGTGGGGCACGACGGTGCTTAACTATTCGCACAGTGGTACTGCCGTCTGGATGCTTCAGCTGTACTCGCTCACCATGTACACATTTCTCATGTTCCATCATATTATACTTTGAAGCAAATGCTTTGCCGCAACTTTGACACTTGAATGGTTTCTCTCCTGTATGAGTACGATAATGGAGGGTAAGCTTGGAAGGAAGGAAAAATTTACGTCCACAGAGTTTACAACCGTAGCGATGAAGTTTGTTAGGATCCGTATGATATCTACGGCGATGAAGATTTAGTGTATTGGCTGTTCGGGCAGTGTAATTACATTGATTGCATTTATACTTTTTTTCAAGTGTGTGGTTTGCATCAAAGTGTGCTAGCATTTTTGAACGATAAGCAAACTTTTTAGGACACAGAGGACACTTTACACATGCCTCTCTATGGACTACTTTAATATGATGTATTATTGAGTTCTTTTTAAAAGACTTCCCACAAAATTCACAAACACACTGGCCATGCTGGTATCTTACATGAGTTTTTAATTTAGACTCGCAGCCCAATGAAGCATCACATAATGAGCATTTATATGGAGCTTTACTTAAATGTTGGTTAAAAGCCTCTTCCCTAACATATTTTTTGTTACAATGCATGCATTCAACTTTGTAGGGGCGAATATTGTCACCATTGTGCTGAGTTTCGTGGTGCAACTTCAACTGATCGGGGTTCAAAAACTGATTGCCACATACTTCACATACCTGATCTGGTGCACCTTGGTGAATGGTTAGATGCTTCTTTAAATTACCCAGCAGGGAGAATCTCCGTCCACATGAACGGCATTCAAAAAGGCGATCGTGGAAACCCAAGTGGGAATAATATTTACGAGCTTCTGTAAACACTTTATCACAGTGACTACATTCATATATTCTCAATTGCATAGTGTGTACTTTTCTGTGTTCCTTTAGCTGTATGCGCAATTCAAATTCTTCATTGCATTTCAGACACTTGTACATTACTTTTCCATCCTCCTTTAATACTTTTTCCTGTCGATACTTTTCTTTTGCTTTATCTGAATACTTTTTTATTTGTTTTGATATCTTAAATTCATTTTCAGAGGCTAAATCGCTTATACCAATGGTGTGAACTTTATTTCCATCAAAATGATCTTCTTCATCGCCCGAGATAATGTTACATACACCTTCATCGGAGTCTTCTTTCCCCTCATCATATGCGTCACTACTGTCCCCATATTCCTGCACAACAGTATCAATTAAATTCTTGTATTCTACATCTTCTTCCTCTGAACCTTCTTTAACTTCTAATTCCTTAATCACTGGTGCTGCTTTTAGATCACCAGCATTACCCCAAAGTGTCTTTAAAGCTTTGCCTTCCACTAATTTTTCATCGTCACTACCTTTTTGGGCATTAATTTTCCAGTCTTCATCTTGATCATCATCATCAATCTCCAGATCAACATTTGCATCTTCCTCACTATCAAGATCATATTCAAAATCTGCATCTCGCTTTTTTCTCCTCTTCCTCCTACCTGAGACCTTGCCGTCTAGGTCTGAGAGTGAGGTGCGAGTTGGTTTTCGTCTACTGATCTTGTTATCTACCTCGCAAATAACTTTCTTTTTTCTTCCTCTCTTTTTCTTAATTAGATCTGTGCGTGAATTATCTAGAACATTATTTATAGGTGGTTTTCTGGTTGGATTGTGAACTACGTTTAGAACATCTCCCGCCTTGGTTGTTGTACTTGTCTGTGCCACCCTTCTTCCAGCTGATTCCAATACTGGGTCTGCAAACATGAAGAAAATGTATTACATCAAACTTGGAGGGGTAATTAAAAAGCTAACATAGCCTCTCCGTGAGAGATATGATGATAATATTTAAGATTATGTTGCAGTCATGCACATACAACCACTTTATCAAATCTGCACAAAATCCCTTCAAGAATATAATTTACTGATAAATAACACTGCTTCATATCAATATACTGTTCAGCACATATAATATATATAAATATATTTATATTTAGCCTATGTCAAACAATGCAGTGATCATACTCCTATTATATTGCACAGTAAATTTTTCCATAAATCTGCGTAAAAAGTTTTCTTTTATTCTCACTTATCATCATCACAGCTACTGTAGCCCTTTCAAACCTGAAAATACACCATGATATATTATTCATTAACAGGCCTACATACTCCTTACTCTTATTCACTTCTTCTCTTACAAATCTTATTCTGTTCTGCTCTTCATACAAAATTCCACTTAAGTATTTTGTTACATATTACATTAAATGCTTCATCCTTCTTTCTCCATTCTTTATTGCTCCTCTCCACAGCCTCTATGACATCCTACCCTTGTGTCATAGGGGCCCAGAAAGATGTGACTCCTAGATACATGGCACTGACATTACATACACAATTTCAAGCACTCTTCTTACCTTGCTACCTGGCTTTGCAGGGTATTACATTACCAACTATGCTGTGTTTGCTGCTTCTAATCACCAAAGTCATCACAACACCAGATCAGGTATAAGTAATTATCAAGGACCCTTTCATTAGTTTCCTGTTTCTCAGAAATTGACCATATTGAATATTTACTGCTAAAGGGGTCAAACAAACCTCGCACTTAGGTACATACTCTCTTCCATGTGTGCCATAACTCAGAGAAGTCTGGGAAAACCTTCCCCATGTTGTGAGCATTGTATTAAACAAAGATTTTTGATCATCCAATTCAAGAAGAGAATCTTAAATTACTAATTAACTCATGTGATCAGTACAAATCACAAGCTAAGTCAACTTACTTTCAGATTTTTTGATGCACAATAACTTTGGAGGCTTCACATCATTATGCTTCTGAAACTTGTTTGTCACCTGACTTTGTGCCGAGATCGAGACAGCATCATTACTGTCAGTATCATGGTTCACCTTATTGTAAGTTTTGGAGCAGACTGCAGAAGGATTTGTTCCTACACCAACATCAATCAAGATGGGAATGTAGCACTGAGTAGTTGCTGAGCCAGGCAATGGTAAAGCACAAAAAAATATAGGAACATTGGGAATTGAAGGTTGACTAGGAACGGCATGGAAAGATGCATCAGTTTGGCATGCAACTGAACACTTATCCGAGTTGATGAATAATATTTCTTCTTCGCTCTCTTCAGTTTTAACATATATTAAGCATTCACCTCCAGCGATACCTTCTTTTATTACTGGAAGCTCAAAGTTATCAATGTCAGTATCCTCAGACATTACTGGCAGCAGTTGTTGAACTACAGCATGTTTGTAGTTATGCCGAGAATTTACGGTAGCTGTAGACCTCGTTTGCTCAGCTTCCATATACTGTATCTTCAACCTCTAAAACTTGCATACATTCCACCTGTAAATAATAAATGAAAATATTTTTTTAATAAGGAACTTAGTTTACTATTGAACCACATTCTAGAAATTTAGAATTTCTTATAAGCAAAGCTGTGATTAAAGAAAATGTACTAATAATGCAATAAAAATGCAACTATTAAACATGATTTTTTTATCTCAAGTCTTTACTCCCATGATACCTTTTCAAATTCACATATCAATTTCTCTGTCAATCTGACAATGAATAAAAAGAATTATAAATTTAGATATCGGAAATGTCTTCACATTTAGTCACAACTCTACACTGCTGCTTTTCACACAATATCCAAGTCAAATGCTTAATTTAATTACTGCTATGTAGTACTTTTTTTTAAACTTCTCTATATTCTGAACTTCACTAAAGACAGCTTTATCAACTTTTAATATTTAACTCATTGAATCTCAATCTTGAAATTATTCTTAAAATAATGTTACATAATACTTTACAGTACATACTCTTCAAAATTATGTTATCTACTTGCAGATTTCTTAATACATAGCCACACACTGTATACTTGATAAACAACATACAGGCATAGTATACTGTAAGTATAATTTGTCTTAGCAAAACATTAAATCACTGGTGTCCAATTAATGCAATAAAGTAACATAAAATCTGTTATCAGACTCAATCGATAAAAGTGATCAGAGAAAATGGTATCTTTGTATCTCTTCACATTCATAAACCTGCTTATACAATTCAACAATAGATGACATTATACTCTGTAAAATATAGATTCAATAATGAAGGATTCTTAGGCTGCCAAACCTTCTCATGTACATTATATGTCAAGTTCTTGGTTAAGGAAAACTTGGTCCACTATATTGAGCAAGGAAATATTTTATTAATGACCAGCTGAATTTATAAAAATCATGTGAAATCATAATTGAGTATGGCTCACCTCTGGTACAATTGTGTGTATGTATACGTATGTGTGTAATATCTATATATGGAGTCCCTGTACCTTAAACATACTTAGTGTGGCCAGATATTTATTTAACAATTTTGGAATGGAACTCTTTACTTAATCTTAAATAAAAGAAAAAGCTGCAATGTTTAGCTTACTATTCTTATGTAATTTGATTTATAATTTTTTTTTTAGATTTATAATACATTTAAATACATTTTTACAATTTACATACAGTAATACATTTTTTAAAATGTATTACTGCACATACACATTTTAAATGTATAATGTATTTGGAAAAAAAATTATTACTATATAGTATGTATTACTATTATTATAATTCACCATGAGCTCAGCAGGCTTCCTGTCCCCCAAAATGGGAAACCAATAAAGTATATTTAAAATTATAATTTAAGAACATTAAAATTATACATAAAAATTATGACAAAACTTGTTTTCTAACTTTTAAAGGTTGTATAGATTGGGTCAAGTTAATTTGGGTTGGATTATGGGGGAGGGGAACACAATCAAATCTTCCACAGGCAATTAAGAATTCCGGTAGTAGAGTCGGGTTTGTTCTCGACTCACAATCGAGAATTATTGGTTTGAATCCCAGATGGGACAGAAATGGTTGCGCGCATTTCCTATCACATAATGCCTCTGTTCACATAGCAGTAAGTAGGTACCCAGGAGTTAGTCTGCTCGTTGAGGGGTTGCATTCTGGAGGATCAGTAATTCGACCTAGAGGGGGATGGGGACCTCGATATAAGCCTAACGTGTATATATATTCTCACACTCTGGCTGCCTGTCCCTCCCCCCCCCCCCTGACACAATGAAATGTAAGAAAGCACAAATTTTTTAATTGTAAAAACTGTATACAGCCTGTATATTGTTGGGTTGGGATGAACTTGTTTGGGTTAGGTTAAGTTAACTTGGTTTTTAAAATCTGCTGAACAGTTTGGATACGAACTGGCAGAGTCCCCTCATTTGGCAGGGTCCCCCCATTTGGCAGGGTCACCCCATCTGGCAAGGTCCCCCCATCTGGCAGGGTCCTGATAGTACAGTCGGGTTCGTTCTCGACGAACAATCAAGAATTTCAGGTTCAAATCTTAGGCCAGACATAAATGGTTGGGCACATTTCATTTCACCTAATGCACCTGTTCACCTAGCAGTAAGTAGGTACTGAGGATTTAGTCATCTTGTTGTGGGGTTGCATCCTGGGTGAGGTCAGTCATTCGACCTAGATGGGAAGGCTCTCGATAAAAGCCTAACGTGTATGAATACACTCTGGCTTCTTGTCCCCCGACACAATGAGTTATTATTCCATTCACCTTTTTATGAATTATTATTATTATTATTATTACTAATCTGTATCCGCAACAACGATACCCTAAGAGTCCTTTAGACCCTAAGTGGCTCAACCCTGTGAGAGTAAAGTAAGTAAGTAAGTAAATTTTATTCAGGAAAGGTCATACATAGTTGATTTACAAACATAATGTTGGATTTATAGATAGAGCTAGTACATACAATACCTAAAGCCACTAGTACACATAGCATTTTGGGCAAGGTGAGGTGGGGGGAAAAAACACTTAGACTAAAACTTAATAGTAATTGAGCTTAAAGTATAAATTGCGTCGAAAGAAATAAAAATAGAAGATAAAAAAGGGGGGGGGGGAACATTATAGAAAATAGCCAATATACAAGTTGGTCAACAAACAGCATGGTTTAAAAATAGTAAGACATGGGTTGACATTTAGGGGTAAGATAGGCAACATGGAGTTAATTAGATAGTACTTAGTTTTCATCTTTTTATTTTTTTTTTTGAGATATATACAAGAGTTATTACATTCTTGTACAGCCACTAGTATGCGTAGTGTTTCAGGCAGGTCCCTGGAATACGACCCCCACGAAGAATCGTTTTTACAACCAAGTACCCATTTTACTGTTGAGTTAAACAGAGGCTACAGTTAAGGATTTGCGCCCAGTAAATCCTCCCCGGCCAGGATACGAACCCATGACAAAGCGCTCGTGGATCGCCATGCGAGTGTCTTACCACTACACCACGGAGACTGGTAAAACTGGATCGTAAACTGGTTGAGAGGGGTACAGCCTTTGACATGATTGGGAAGGTCATTCCACATTCTGGGTCCCTTGATTTGTAGAGCATTTCTAGTTTGATTAAGTCGTACTCTTGGAATATCAAATAGGTATTTTTTTTTTTTGAGATATATACAAGAGTTGTTACATTCTTGTACACAATGAGTTATTATTCCATTCACCTTTTTTATGAATTATTATTATTATTATTTCATGAATTATTATTATTATTATTTCATGAATTATTATTATTATTACTAATCTGTATCCAGTATTTGTTTCTGGTGTGGTGCCCATGGGTTCTGTTACAACCTTCTACAAAGCTTTTAAGGTCAGGATTGACATTACAATTCAGAGTTTTAAATATATAGAGTACACATGAGAGGATGTGCAGTGACTTAATATCTAACATATTCAGAGATTTGAGTAAGGATACCGAGTGCTGTCTGGGGCCTGAGTTAAATATTGTTCTAATACAAGCTTTGTGTTGGGTAATTAGAGGACGTAAATGATTTTGGGTAGTAGAACCCCATGCACAAATACCATAGTTGAGATAAGGATAGATGAGAGAGTAATAGAGCGTCACCAGGGCAGGGCACGGTACATAATATCTGATCTTAGAAAGAGTGCCAAGAGTTTTAGAAACCTTTTTTGCTATATTTAGAATGTGTCCCTGGAAATTCAGCTTGTTATTGTTGAGGACACTAAGGAATTTACCATCAACTTTACTACTGACTTGTATGTTGTTTATTCTTAAATTAATTTTATTTGAGGATTTATTATCAAACAAAATATAGAAAGTTTTGTCAATGTTAAGGGTTTGTTAGCAGTTAGTCAAAGATGGACTTTATTTAGTTCAGTATTCACAGTGACATTTAGAGCAAGTGGGTCAGGACTGGAGAAAATGAAAGTTGTGTCATCAGCAAATAAGATTGGTTTGAGGTGTTGAGAGGCATTTGGAAGGTCATTAATGTAGATGAGAAAGAGGAGAGGGCCAAGTATGCTGCCCTGAGGAACACCAATGTTTATGGGTAGTGTAGGAGAAATGGAATTATTCACAGAAACATACTGGAGCCTGTCAGTAAGGTAAGACTGAAGGTATTGCAGGGAGTTTCCTCTGACTCCATAATGAAGTAATTTTAAGAAGAAGGTTTTGGTGGTTGACAGAGTCAAAAGCCTTACATAGGTCCACAAACAACCAACAGGGAACTTATTTTTATCAAGAGCTGTATGTATCAAGTTAATCAAGGAAGGATTAGGATTCCTTCAAGTTAATCAAGGAAGGATTCCTTCCCCTCAAGGTATCATACTAATAAGTGCATCGTTAGTGCTTTTATTGGGTCTGAAACCATATTGGCAAGAGACTTCTCCTTACTGGGGGAATGTGACACATTCAACGACGGCGGTGCCTTCACTCTCAGCATCAGTGATGCTGCCCAATAAGCTCTCCTTGCCGGCCAAAATACACCCTAAGACTCGCCCTAGACTCGCCACTACCACCACACCGATGTAAACAAACCCACACGCATCCCGACCTTCATATACTATGTTGCGGTCTTTGTTGATTTTGATTTATTTTTTTTATTTGTAGTTATTTATTTTAATTTGATTATAATTTTATATATGTATAAGAAGGTACAATGGATAGTAGAAGTACATATGTTGGCGAGTAAATGGTATATTATAATAATAATAATAATAATAATAATTTTTATATCTCAAAGGTACATACATAAAGAGATTTTACAAAGTTTGTTGGCTTTATAGATAGAGCTAGTACATACAATGCCTAAAGCCACTATTACGCAAAGCGTTTCGGGCAGGAAAAACACTAATGACTAAAGCTTAAAACTAATGGGTAAAAAGAATAATATTCTTCGCAAAACCACGAACGCGCATATTTTTCAACAAGTCCATTAATAAAAAAACACGTAAAAATGAGTATTAAAGAGGATGACGATAGCTTTAAAAAAAATCATCCCTTAAAAAAAAAGACGTTTCAAACTTCTTAACCATTAACAGAGACATTAACGGATTACCCTCGGGGTCCCTATAGCCGACGTCTGCTCTTGTGAGCCACTCACAATATCTGACTGTCTACCCAGGTACTTTTTTAATGAGTTATGGTGCTGCTGGCTTATGGGGGGTGGGCTGGGGGTAGAGGTGGGTTAAGGAGGATCCGAGGGACCTATTCCGGAGTCGGGAAATGTTAAAAAGGGTTTGTGTTTTCCGCTACGGGTACAGCTTATGGATGAGCTCGATGAAGTGCAAAGTGTATCGCATATCCGGGGTTGTCCCTCATACAAGCTTAGTCTAGGATGTTTGGGGTTGTCGTCCCCATACAAGCTTAGTCTAGGATGTCTGGGGTTGTCGTCCCCCATACAAGCTTAGTCTAGGATGTCTGGGGTTGTCGTCTCATACAAGCTTAGTCTAGGATGTCTGGGGTTGTCGTCTCTCATACAAGCTTAGTCTAGGATGTCTGGGGTTGTCATCCCTCATACAAGCTTAGTCTAGGATGTCTGGGGTTGTCATCCCTCATACAAGCTTAGTCTAGGATGTCTGGGGTTGTCATCCCTCATACAAGCATAGTCTAGGATGTCTGGGGTTGTCATCCCTCGTACAAGCTTAGTCTAGGATGTCTGGGGTTGTCATCCCTCATACAAGCTTAGTCTAGGATGTCTGGGGTTGTCATCCCTCATACAAGCTTAGTCTAGGATGTCTGGGGTTGTCATCCCTCATACAAGCTTAGTCTAGGATGCCTGCTGTTGCGGCTTGTCGAAGGTCCCCCCATTTGCCTTGCTGATCTTTTCCAGCTGTACTTTAAAGATTAACAGAGTTTTGGCAGTAACGGCTTCGGCGGGTAGGCGGTTCCATGGGTTAGCGAATTTTCCCACAGGATTATTATGTGTAAAATCTTATGTATAAATTCGGCCGTGGGAGACAGCACAAAACATCCACCAGTGATACATTGTAATTGCCAGAATTAGGCTGGAATATTGTTACAATTTTGGGTATGTAATGAATCTCAATGTACACTCAATACTCCATTTCTAAAGTCTGAGAAAGGTTAGGACACAATTCAAAACTTTATTAGTGAAAGCCTAATCATCAATTATTTTTTTTAAACCATATACCACGTGATAATTATAGGGAGCTTTGTAACTCTTTCATTCATTCGCGGGCATTAGAAGATATACTTTGCTCAAAATATTCTAGTGCGGGGCAGTTTCTGCCCGAAACGCTGCGCGTACTAGTGGCTTTACAAGAATGTAATTACTATGCTATGTATCCTCACAATCCCAATGTACCTTCTTGTATATATATATAAATAAATAAATAGATAAATAAATAAGTAGCTAAAGTAAACTCACATGCCACGTACGAATAAGCAAGCTAGTATGGGGATATATAATTAAGTAATCTGATATTGAATAAGGTTTGAATAGCAGCATACTGAGACGTATCTTTGCTTCTTAAGAAAAGGGTCTAACCATTAGGTGAAAGAACGCTTTCCCGACAATTAATATTTGTCCATTATTAACTTGAAGAAAAGGACTATAGTTATAAGAGCCAGTAGTATCTAAGAACTGCCTTCACTCAGACCGTGAACGTAACAGTAGTACATGGGACCTTCAGATCATAACATGAGTCTACCATTGAAGCAAACCGTTTTCTCTTTATCTCTGCACGTAAGCTCTGTAACCGTTTTCTCTTTATATCTGCTCTGGACCTCTGTAACCAATCTTTCTATAATTAATTCATTGAGTCGGGGGGACAGGAAGCCAGAGTGTATTTATACACGTTTTGGCTTTTATCGAGGCAAAATTTTATGGTAATAGATCATTTTGAATGAAATATTTACACATTTCTTGAATCTTGTTATAGAATCCCTGTCTCCAAATTCACGTATCTTTTCTCACTCCATCACCTAGTGACGGAGGGTGTGCGAATAATTTCGTTGATACAGTTTACATTTGGTCAGGTCTATATCAGCAGGTATTGTAGACGCCTATAGAGATACTCATAGCAGAATCTAAGCCGTGCAGTAGTACCTGCTTGATGGGGTTCTGGGAGTTCTACTCCCCCTTCTATTCCCTTGATGGGGTTCTGGGAGTTCTACTCCCTTGATGGGGTTCTGGGAGTTCTACTCCCTTGATGGGGTTCTGGGAGTTCTACTTCTACTCCTCACTGACTTGTGAGATATATAGGAGTCTACTGATTTTATTGGATGATCCATTGATGGGGTGGCTCATTAATTGGATGATCCATTGATGAGGTGGCTCGTCAATTGGATGATCCATTGATGGGGTGGCTCATTAATTGGATGATCCATTGATGGGGTGGCTCGTCAATTGGATGATCCATTGATGGGGTGGATCATCAATTGGATGATCCATTGATTCATGTATCTTGAGTTTGCATCAATGCAGATGATGAGTCACAATAAAGTGTATGAAATATGTTGACCAGACCACACACTAGAAAGTGAAGGGACGACGACGTTTCGGTCCGTCCTGGACCATTCTCAAGTCGATGGTCCATCGACTTGAGAATGGTCCAGGGGTGACCGAAATGTCGTCGTCCCTTCACTTTCTAGTGTGTGGTTTACATCAATATTGGCTCGTTTCTTTCGCCATTGTTTGTCCTCTAAATATTCCATCTCGTTTTCTATTCGTGGGTCCTCAAGTTAGGTTAGGTTAGATTAGGGTTCAAGCCATTTAGTACATAGGAGATGTATATGTTTATCTCTCTGAATGTTTGGTAATATGTTTATTGTTTGTGATGTGTGTATATGTATGTATTAACACGATGTACTGAACGGGGTGAGAATAGCTTGAGCTACCTCATCCCTTTGTGTGTATTTTACCTCAATAAACTTATTTCAATTTCAATTTTCAATTTAGTACATCATTTTTGTGACGTGATAATTCGAAAGGACGGGCTGAATTATCGCCGCGATTATATATTTTTTCACGATGAAAAAAAAAATCAAAATTTTCACCGTGATTCAGATAAATTTACAGTTTATAAAAATAGCCGAATTTGGACATCATAACTGGTGGCAGCGAATGTTTCTACCATATTTTTTTCCAAGAGACACATTTTCGTTATTAATAATAATTTGACTGGAATGCGGGCAGCAGTGTGTGTGTAAATATCATAGTCTCGCCTTAAACATTGAGTCCGGTCACCATGATGTCCTATAAAAAGAAAATGTTCCTCCTGCCCTACCTCATAATAATTAATAATTCATTGTGTCAGGGGACAGGATGCCAGAGTGTATTCATACACGTTAGGCTTATATCGAGGTCCCCCCCCCCTTCCCCAACCTAAGGTCGAATTACTGACTCAGCCTAGGATGCAACTCCACAATAAGCTAACTCTTCAGTACCTACTTACTGCTAGGTGAAAGGAAATGTGCCCAATTTCATTTCCGTCCCGCCTGGGATTCGAACCTGGGGCCAGATTCACGAAAGCACTTACGCAAGCAGTTACGAACGTGTACATCTTTCCTCAATCTTTGACGGTTTTGGTTACATTTATTAAACAGTTCACAAGCATGAAAACTTGCCAATCAACTGTTGTTATTGTTATAAACAGCCTCCTGTTGCTTCAGAGCTCATTAACTGTTTAATAATTGTAAACAAAGCCGCCGTAGATTGAGGAAAGATGTACAGATTCGTAAGTGCTTGCGTAAGTGCTTTCGTGAATCTGGCCCCTGGAATTCTCGATTGTACGTTGAGAGCGATATCGAACCCGGTTCTACTACCGGGACCTCTAAATCATATATATATCCCTGTCTGTTCCAGGATAGCTGCCAGGACTGATGCCAGGTATCAATCTCCGTCCAATTAATATCTGCACAGTTGCCGGGGGTTAGAGTTGCCGTGGGCGGCCGCCAGAACACAATCTCCCGCCGTCTATCTTACTGTCAGTTCTCTGAAACCCGTCATTAGCCCCCTGCTGGGCTATAATGGAATTACTCCACCCCGGCTTCCGATCCTCGAGTTATGACTTTCCACGTTGCAGGTTTTTCTCAAACCTGTTTTCATGTGGCATTTTTTGAAGACTATTTGATGTAGCTGAGTGCTCATTATTTCTTAATTTTAATACATAGTGCATTATTAATGCCCTAAAATGTGGTTAGGAGTATGAGAATTGTAGGTCTTGGGATTGACAAGACAGGTGCATTCGGACAATGAAATATTTTCATTGCTGGCCATATAAGATGTCTTCTGTATCAAGGCATACATTAATAAGTACCTAATTATGTATACGCATCTTTTTTTTTTTTAATTTTTTCGAGAAAGTCTAAATCGAATCCATTCCAATTTGCACTTAATCTTATCTCATTCTCAGTTGTAAGACGAATTAGAATGCCTGCTGAGAATTACTTGTCATGTTTTTTATTGTGTGTGTGTGTGTTTTTTTTTAAGATCTGTTTAATGCGTGAAATAGTTGTTCATATCTGTGATTTTTCGTTTCTGTGAGGGTTTTATCTATATAAAAATGTGTCTGTTCGTCTCTTTGTTT